AAACAGATGAAGAAAATGTAGAGAGGAGGGAGTGAAAAGATGCCAGGTCGGCAGGGAGTTTAGTTTTCTTCCATTTCCGCTCCGCTGCCCGGAGCTCTGTTCTGTGAGCTCGCAATGAGTCATCAAGCCACGGAGCTGGAGGGGAGGACCGAGCCGGCCGGGAGGATAGGGGACACAGAGAGTCAAAGGATGCAGAAAGGGAGGAGAGGAGGGTTGAGGAGGCAGAATCAGGAGATTGGAGGGAGAAGGATTGAGCAGAGGGAAGAGATGATAGGATGGAAGAGGAGAGAGTAGTGGGAGAGAGAGAGCGAAGGTTGCGGCGGCGCATTACCATCTGTGTAGGGGCAGAGTGAGTAGTGTGGGAGGAGAGCGAGAGAGAAAAGGAAACAAAGTAGTGGTCGGAGACATGGAGGGGAGTTGCAGTGAGATTAGTAGAGGAGCAGCATCTAGTGAAGATGAGGTCAAGCGTATTGCCTGCCTTGTGAGTAGGGGGGGACGGTGAGAGGGTGAGGTCAAAAGAGGAGAGGAGTGGAAAGAAGGAGGCAGAGAGAAATGAGTCAAATGTGGACATAGGGAGGTTGAAATCCCCCAAAACTGTGAGGGGTGAGCCATCCTCAGGAAAGGAACTTATCAAGGCGTCAAGCTCATTGATGAACTCTCCAAGGGAACCTGGAGGGCGATAGATGACAAGGATATTAAGCTTAAATGGGCTAGTGACTGTGACAGCATGGAATTCAAATGAGGAGATAGACAGATGGGTTAGGGGAACAATTGAGAATGTCCACTTGGGAGAGATGAGGATTCCTGTACCACCACCCCTCTGACCAGATGCTCTCGGGGTATGCGAGAACACATGGTCAGACGAGGAGAGAGCAGTAGGAGTAGCAGTGTTTTCAGTGGTAGATAAACAGATGACGTGTGTATGAGCAGTCATGTAATATTTTGTGGTGGGACCTAACAGCAACAACAAAGTATTTTATTGTCCAATGTGAATGGGAAATGTGTATTTTTGCGGTCTTGTGAGAGGCTGGAAGCAGCACAGTCATCCACAGAGCTGCACCACTTGTCTGCAAGCCTTTTCCTAGATCTCGATGTGCTGTCCTGCCAACTGCTATAGTCATTGTCACGTCAGGTTGGTATGACAATGACTATAAGAATTGGCATGACAGCACAAACAGATCTAGGAACAGGCTATTATTTAACATGACAACAACCATAGGAATTACCAAGACAAGACAGCACAAACAGACCTGGAACCAAGCTAGCAGACAAGGTTGTCTATGACCATAGACGTTACCAAGACAAGACCTCACAAACAGGTCTAGGACCAGGCCATTGTCTGCAGGTAGCGGCTGGCACTGGTCATTGGTCTGTCTGACGCAGCAGAGGCAGTCTGGTCAGAGTGGTCTGTAGAAGAATGACCCTTAGAGGAACAGCTGACATGCCAGCTCTTTAATCTGCTCTGTTCTAGAAACATCTCTGATGTTCGTTAATGTACAACTTTCAATTGACAACTCAGAACTCAATCTAGAGTTCAAAAGCCGGATATAGAACCATAGTTGGTTCTAACAGGACTGACCTCTCAGACTCAATACTGACTTCTAGGGCTGGTTTCCCCGACCCAAAATCTCCATTGATGTAAAGCCAAAGGGACAGATTGGTAGTGACAGACTCCAAACATGCACTCCATGACACACTGGAATGTACTGGGGGGGAGTGCACAAACTGAAGGGCTTGAAATTGAAGTCATAGTTGGGTCTCAACCGGGGTGTATTCACTAGGAACCAAACGGAACCAAACGGGGAGGGACCTACCTGAATTTGTCCAATAGAAACTCTCGTTTAACTATTTGGGCTAATGATTACACCGCTGGACTGACCTCTCAGAAACTCAATCTAAAGCAGGGATCATAATTGTTTTGCAAATTGAACGCAAGATGCCCAAACAAATATATCTGACTAAAACATAATCATTTCAAAACTTGCTTACATTTTTATACTATCACATACACTACCAGTCAAAAGTTTGAACACACCTTCTCGTTCAAGGGTTTTCTTTATTTTGACTATTTCTTACATTGTAGAATAATAGTGAAGACATCAAAACTATGAAATAACACATATGGAATCATGTAGTAACCAAAAAAGTGTTAAACAATTGAGATTCTTCAAATAGCCACCCTTTGCCTTGATGACAGCTTTGCACACTCTTGGCATTCTCTCAACCAGCTTCATGAGGTAGTCACCTGGAATGCATTTCAATTAACAGGTGTGCCTTCTTAAAAGTTAATTTGTGGAATTTCTTTCCTTAATGCGTTTGAGCCAATCAGTTGTGTTGTGACAAGGTATTATGGCAAGAACAGCTCAAATAAGCAAAGAGAAACGACAGTCCATCATTACTTTAAGACATGAAGGTCAGTCAATACGGAAAATTTCAAGAACTTTTTAAGTTTCTTCAAGTGCAGTCACGAAAACCATCAAGCGCAATGATGAAACTGGCACTCATGAAGACCACCACAGGAATGGAAGACCCAGAGTTACCTCTGCTGCAGAGGATAAGTTCATTAGAGTTACCTGCCTCAGAAATTGCAGCCCAAATAAATGCTTCACAGAGTTCAAGTCACAGACACATCTCAACATCAACTGTTCAGAGGGGACTGTGTGAATCAGGCCTTCATGGTCGAATTGCTGCAAAGAAACCACTACTAAAGGACACCAATAAGAAGAAGACCTGCTTGGGCCAAGAAACACGAGCAATGGACATTAGACCGGTGGAAATTGTCCTTTGGTCTGGAGTCCAAATTTGCGATTTTGGGTTCCAACCACTGTGTCTTTGTGAGACGTGGTGTGGGTGAACGGATGATCTCCGCATGTGTGGTTCCCATCGTAAAGCATGGAGGAGGAGGTGTTATGGTGCGGGGGTGCTTTGCTGATGACACTGTTTGTGATTTAATTAGAATTCAAGGCACACTTAACCAGCATGGCGACCACAGCATTCTGCAGCGATACACCATCCCATCTGGTTTGGGCTTTTGTTTTTCAACAGGACAATGACCCAACACACCTCCAGGCTGTGTAAGGGCTATTTTACCAAGAAGGAGAGTGATGGAGTGCTGCATCAGATGACCTGGCCTCCACAATCCCCCGACCTCAACCCAATTGAGATGGTTTGGGATGAGTCGGATGGCAGAGTGAAGGTAAAGCAGCCAACAAGTGTCCAAACTTTTGACTGGTAGTGTATATACAGTATCTCTCTATTATGCGTGGGAATACTTTGGAACATATTTCCTAAATTAAAATCACTTGGGGCGGATTTGCTGGTGTTTTTATACTCTTATGTCCAACAATTAAATTAAAATGTATTTATTTTTGCTCAGAAAACTTTGGGAGCCAAATAAAGCTGCCAGTTGGCGAACCCTGATCTAGAGGTTAGAAACCGTGACCTATAAAGCTATAGTTGGGGTTTTACAGTTACTGCAGGGTTTGTAGTTCATTACCATTCAGATTGCAGTTTAATGTCTTGATCATTACTCATTTCCCTGTCAGTCAGAATAAGAATGAGAGGTCTCTCCTTCACTCCTCATTGCAGACCACTCATAGAGAGGGGGACAGCATATGTCCAATCATCTGTTCAGACCATATGTCTCCATGAAAACCAAAGTCACACACACAGTTGACTTTTCCGGGTAAATGTTTTAGGAATGAGCAGCAGTGATGGAATCTGACATTTGTGGCCTGTTGCTGTATTGGTATTTAAGTTGTCCCCACTAAAGACGCATGGAAACCCATGATAAGCAGACCTTTTCACACAAGTTCTTAGCATGATCACACCACAATGATGGCAGAAGTTATTCTGTCCATGACTCTTGCATGTCATTATTATTGCACTTTGAAATGTAGGAAACATTATTGCTATGTGATCTCTCTCTCTCTCTCTCTCTCTCTCTCTCTCTCTCTCTCTCTCTCTCTCTCTCTCTCTCTCTCTCTCTCTGGTCTCTCTCTGTGTCTCTCTCTGTGTTCTCTCTGTTCTCTCTCTTCTGTGTCTCTCTCTGTGGCTCTCTCCTTATTCCAATCTCATCTCTCTGTCTCTCGCTCTGTCTCTCTCTGTCTCTCTCTCTCTCTGTCTCTGTCTCTCTCTCTGTCTCACTGTCTCTGTCTCTCTCTCTCTGTGTCTGTCTGTCTGTCTCTCTGTCTCTGTCTCTCTCTGTCTCTCTGTCTCTCTCTCTCTCTCTGTCTCTCTCTGTCTCTCTCTCTCTCTCTCTCTGTCTCTCTCTGTCTGTCTGTCTGTCTGTCTGTCTGTCTGTCTGTCTGTCTGTCTGTCTGTCTCTCTCTCTCTCTCTCTCTCTCTCTCTCTCTCTCTCTCTGTCTCTCTGTCTCTCTGTCTGTCTGTCTGTCTCTCTCTCTCTCTCTCTCTCTCTCTCTCTCTTTTTTTCTCTCTCTCAATTCAATTTAATTTAAGGGCTTTATTGGCATAGGAAACATATGTTTACATTGCCAAAGCAAGTGAGGTAGATAATAAACAAAAGTAAAAATAATAATAATAATTAACAGTAAACATTACACTCACAAAAGGTCAAAGAATAGACATTTCAAATGTCCTGTTATGTCTATATACAGTGTTATAATGATGTGCAAATAGTTAAAGTACAAAAAGGAAAATAAATAATATCTCTCTCTTCCTCCCTCTCTCCCTCCAGTGTCTTAGAGAGTCCCAGCAGGCTAGACGAGGAGCATCGTCTCATTGCTCGCTATGCTGCGCGCCTTGCAGCAGAGGCAGGCAACTCCACAGTGAGTAGCTCCACAGTGAGTAGCTCCACAGTGAGTAGCTCCACAGTGAGTAGCTCCACAGTGAGTAGTGTGGGTGTGTCTGTCTTTGCGTGCACGGCTAGTAGGCTTCCCCAGGGTGGTATTCCGTCAGCCTTTATTTAACCTCGTATTATGTAATGCTGTGTAAATGCAGAATGTCAGTGTACTGTCACCAGAAACTAAGGTAATCATTACCCACAGGTTACTGTCACCAGAAACTAAGGTAATCATTACCCACAGGTTACTGTCACCAGAAACTAAGGTAAACATTACCCACAGGTTACTGTCACCAGAAACTAAGGTAAACATTACCCACAGGTTACTGTCACCAGAAACTAAGGTAAACATTACCCACAGGTTACTGTCACCAGAAAACCTAAGGTAAACATTACCCACAGGTTACTGTCACCAGAAACTAAGGTAAACATTACCCACAGGTTACTGTCACCAGAAACTACGGTAATTATTACCCACAGGTTACTGTCACCAGAAACTAAGGTAATCATTACCCACAGGATACTGTCACCAGAAACTAAGGTAAACATTACCCACAGGTTACTGTCACCAGAAACTAAGGTAATCATTACCCACAGGTTACTGTCACCAGAAACTAAGGTAAACATTACCCACAGGTTACTGTCACCAGAAACTAAGGTAATCATTACCCACAGGATACTGTCACCAGAAACTAAGGTAATCATTACCACAGGATACTGTCACCAGAAACTAAGGTAAACATTACCCACAGGTTACTGTCACCAGAAACTAAGGTAAACATTACCCACAGGTTACTGTCACCAGAAAACTAAGGTAAACATACCCACAGGTTACTGTCACCGGGAAATAAGGTAATATTACCCACAGGATACTGTCCCCAGAAACTAAGGTAAACATTAACCCACAGGTTACTGTCACCGAAACTAAGGTAAAACATTACCCACAGGTTACTGTCACCAGAAACTAAGGAAAACATTACCCACGGGTTTTACTGTCACCAGAAACTTAAGGTAAACATACCCACAGGTTACTTACCAGAAATAAGGTAAATTACCACAGGTTACTGTCACCAGAAACTAAGGTAAACATTACCCACAGGTTACTGTCACCAGAAACTAAGGTGAAAGATGAAATAAAAATGCAGGTTGGGCTGACAAGGCCCCAGATGTTAGAATAGTCACTCAAAAGTCTAAAGCACAGCACACATGACTTCTCCTTCTGGGCAGGAGATCATTTTGGATGTCTTTCTCTCTTTTAGCCGCTCAGTTTTGTTAATTCTGTTTTTATTGTGTAATTTTGTGTAATTTTGTCTTTTAGCAATGTCCTCCAACCGATCTGAGTTTAAACTTCGATGCCAACAAACAACAGAGGCAGCTAATAGCAGAACTAGAAAACAAAAACAGGTGAGAATGTATTTGATTGTCACTTTATGAAGAAACATGTAACAATTAAAAAATCAGTACTAAAGATTTCGTTTATCAGTTCATTTCGTTAATCAGATTTATTGTATGCTCATAATTTAAGAATTTTGTGAATTATAAGTAAATAAACTGAAGTCTGTTGATCACCGGGATCTGCTTTCAGAACGTCATTTTCCGGCAGATTTTAAATCTCCATTTTGTTGTGTCTTCTGGTCCCTCAGAGAGATCCTTCAGGAGATCCAGCGGCTGCGTCTGGAGCATGAGCAGGCCTCCCAGCCCACCCCAGAGAAGGCCCAGCAAAACCCCACACTGCTGGCTGAACTCAGGCTCCTTAGGTACCACATATTCAGCTAGATCTATATTACCCACCTACAGTATATGGTGCCTTCGGAAATTATTCAGACCCCTTGACTTTTTCCACATTTTGTTACGTTACAGCCTTATTCTAAAATGGATTAAATAATTATTTTTCCTCAGCAATCTACACACAATACCCCATAATGACAAAGCGAAAACAGGTTTTTAGATAATTTAGTAAATGTATTAAAAATTTAAAACAGAAATACCTTTTTTACGTAAGTATTCAGACCCTTTGCTATGACACTCGAAATTGAGCTCAGGTGCATCCTGTTTCCATTGATCATCCTTGAGATGTTTCTACATCTTCATTGGAGTCCACCTGTGGACCATCTCTGCAGCACTCCACCAATCAGGCCTTTATGGTAGAGCGGCCAGACGGAAGCAACTCCTCAGGCCCGCTTGGAGTTTGCCAAAAGGCACCAAAAGGACTCTCAGACCATGAGAAACAAGATTCTCTGGTCTGATGAAACCAAGATTGAACTCTTTGGCTTGAATGCCAAGTGTCACATCTGGAGGAAACCTGGCACCATCCCTACGATGAAGCATGGTGGTGGCAGTATCATGCTGTGGGGATGTTTTTCAGCGGCAGGAACTGGGAGACTAGTCAGGATCGAGGAAAATATGAATGGAGCAAAGAGAGATCCTTGATGAAAACCTGCTTGGATGTAGTCTATCACAGTGCCATCCGTTTTGTCACCAAAGTCCCATATACTACCCACCATTGTGACCTGTACGCTCTTGTTGGCTGGCCCTCACTACATATTCGTCGCCAAACCCACTGGCTCCAGGTCATCTATAAATCACTCTGTATAATAGACTATAGCTCTGTATAATAGACTATAGCTCTGTATAATGGCCTATAGCTCTGTATTATGGACTATAGCTCTGTATAATGGACTATAGCTCTGTATAATGGCCTATAGCTCTGTATAATAGCCTATAGCTCTGTATAATTTACATTTACGTCATTTAGCAGACGCTCTTATCCAGAGCGACTTACAAATTGGTGCATTCACCTTATGATAGCCAGTGGGACAACCACTTTACAATTTTTGTTATTTTTATATATATATATATATATATATATATATATATATATATATATATATATATATATATATATATATATATATATATATATATATATATATATATATTTTATAAAATATATTTTTGGGATATTTTTAATTTTCATTTGTTTTATATATATATATATATATATATATATATATATATATTTTATATACAGTGGAGAGAACAAGTATTTGATACACTGACGATTTTGCAGGTTTTCCTACTTACATTACATTTACATTTTAGTCATTTAGCAGACGCTCTTATCCAGAGCGACTTACAGGAGCAATTAGGGTTAAGTGCCTTGCTCAAGGCATGTAGGAATTAGGGTTAAGTGCCTTGCTCAAGGCACTTACAAAGCATGTAGAGGTCTGTAATATTTATCATAGGTACACTTCAACTGTGAGAGACGGAATCTAAAACAAATTTGCATTTTATTGCATGACATAAGTTTTTGATCACCTACCAACCAGTAAGAATTCCAGCTCTCACAGACCTGTTAGTTTTTCTTTAAGAAGCCCTCCTGTTCTCCACTCATTACCTGTATTAACTGCACCTGTTTGAACTCGTTACCTGTATAAAAGACACCCGTCCACACACTCAATCAAACAGACTCCAACCTCTCCACAATAGCCAAGACCAGAGAGCTGTGTAAGGACAACAGGGATCAAATTGTAGACCTGCACAAGGCTGGGATGGGCTACAGGACAATAGGCAAGCAGCTTGGTGAGAAGGCAACAACTGTTGGCGCAATTATTAGAAAATTGAAGAAGTTCAAGATGATGGTCAATCACCCTTTGTCTGGGGCTCCATGCAAGATCTCACCTCGTGGGGCATCAATGATCATGAGGAAGGTGAGGGATCAGCCCAGAACTACACGGCAGGACCTGGTCAATGACCTGAAGAGAGCTGGGACCACAGTCTCAAAGAAAACCATTAGTAACATACTACGCCGTCATGGATTAAAATCCTGCAGCGCACGCAAGGTCCCCCTGCTCAAGCCAGCGCATGTTCAGCCCATCTGAAGTTTGCCAATGACCATCTGGATGATCCAGAGGAGGAATGGGAGAAGGTCATGTGGTCTGATGAGACAAAAATAGAGCTTTTTGTTCTAAACTCCACTCGCTGTGTTTGGAGGAAGAAGAAGGATGAGTACAACCCCAAGAACACCATCCCAACCGTGAAGCATGGAGGTGGAAACATAATTATTTGGGGATGCTTTTCTGCAAAGGGGAAAGGACGACTCCACCGTATTGAGGGGAGGATGGATGGGGCCATGTATCGCGAGATCTTGGCCAACAACCTCCTTCCCTCAGTAAGAGCATGGGTCGTGGCTGGGTCTTCCAGCATGACAACGACCCGAAACACACAGCCAGGGCAACTAAGGAGTGGCTCCGTAAGAAGCATCTCAAGGTCCTGGAGTGGCCTAGCCAGTCTCCAGACCTGAACCCAATAGAACATCTTTGGAGGGAGCTGATAGTCCGTATTGCCCAGCGACAGCCCCGAAACCTGAAGGATCTGGAGAAGGTCTGTATGGAGGAGTGGGACAAAATCCCTGCTGCAGTGTGTGCAAACCTGGTCAAGACCTACAGGAAACGTATGATCTCTGTAATTGCAAACAAAGGTTTCTGTACCAAATATTAAGTTCTGCTTTTCTGATGTATCAAATACTTATGTCATGCAATAAAATGCAAATTAATTACTTAAAAATCATGCAATGTGATTTTCTGGATTTTTATTTTAGATTCCGTCTCTCACAGTTGAAGTGTACCTATGATAAAAATTACAGACCTCTACATGCTTTGTAAGTGGGAAAACCTGCAAAATCGGCAGTGTATCAAATACTTGTTCTCCCCACTGTATACACAAAAGACCTTTACACAGAGAGACCAAAAGACCTTACACCGAGAGGATTAAAACCCCCGGAGGAGAAGGGCGAAATTCTCAGCCATCTCGGTCAGATTGAAGAACATACTCTGGGCTTTCTATCGAATTCAGCGAGGAAATAAACGGCGAAGAGCAGGTTGAGTGTCAGGTAACAGTCAGGAGAGTTGAGTCAGAAATTGAGGAAGCCAAGCAGGTCTAGAAAGATGAAGTATTCCTTTCTGGTGCAGGTATTACCAATGGACGGAGGACCAACTGACGTTGTGGTTGAGGCCAAGGACAGCATCACCTATTAGGGGGAGGAGGTGGTGGCAGACCTGCTCCAGCAAGCAGCAGAGGGGGTGATGGACGAGCAGCCAGCGGGAGAGGCATGTCTAGATCCCCAGCAGCTGGTGGATGGAGTCAATGTGGAGATGATGGTAATGGATTCCCTGGACCCGGCCCTGCTGCAGATGAAGACTGAGGTGATGGACGCCCCTGTGGTCACAGCCCACGAGGCCACTGTCACCACTGTGGATGAGACCCAGATCATCACTCTGCAGGTTGTCAATTTGAAGGAGCAGCAGCTTGGAGGCCTTGGGGAGCTACAGCTAGTCCAGGTGCCTGTCTCTGCTGTGCCCGTAACGCAGGCCACTGTAGAGGAGCTACAGGGAACCTTTGTGGACGCCACGGCCATGCCCAAAGATGGAAACCCTATGATCTGCCACACCCTGCCCCTGCCAGAGGGCTTCCAGGTGGTGAAGGTGGGTGCGAATGGTGAGGTGGAGACAGTGGAGCAGGATGAGCTCCAGCACCAGGAGGAGCAGCAGGTCCAGCCTGAGGAGGAGGAGGAGCTGCACTGCGAGCCCCAGACTGAAGACCCACAATGGACCACGGACCCAGACTACCAGCCCCCAGCCAAGAAGACTGCCAAGAAGGCAAAGAAGAGCAAGCTGCGCTACAACACAGAGGGGGACAAAGACAACATGGATGTGTCTGTCTATGACTTTGAGGAGGAGCAGCAGGAGGGGATGCTCTCTGAGGTCAACGCAGAGAAGGTGGTGGGCAACATGAAGCCCCCCCAAACCCACCAAGATCAAGAAGAAGGGTGTGAAGAAAACATTCCAGTGTGAGCTGTGTAGCTACACCTGTCCCCGCCGCTCCAACCTGGACCGACACATGAAGAGCCATACGGACGAGAGGCCCCACAAGTGCCATCTGTGTGGAAGGGCCTTCAGGACCGTTACCCTGCTGAGGAACCACCTCAACACACACACAGGTACCAGACCACACAAGTGTCAAGATTGTGACATGGCCTTTGTGACCAGCGGAGAGCTGGTCCGACATCGTCGCTACAAGCACACTCATGATAAACCCTTCAAGTGCTCCATGTGTGACTATGCCAGTGTGGAGGTGAGCAAGCTGAAGCGGCACATCCGTTCCCACACCGGGGAGCGCCCGTTCCAGTGCAGTCTGTGCAGCTACGCCAGCAGTGACACCTACAAGCTGAAGAGACACATGAGGACACACTCGGGAGAGAAGCCATACGAATGCTACATCTGCCACGCCCGTTTCACCCAGAGTGGAACCATGAAGATGCACATCCTGCAGAAGCACACAGAGAACGTGGCCAAGTTCCACTGCCCCCACTGTGACACGGTTATCGCCCGCAAGAGTGACCTGGGTGTCCATCTGCGTAAGCAGCACTCGTTCATTGAGCAGGGCAGGAAATGCCATTACTGTGATGCTGTGTTCCACGAGCGCTACGCTCTCATCCAGCACCAGAAGTCCCACAAGAATGAGAAACGCTTCAAGTGTGACCAGTGTGACTACTGCTGCAGACAAGAGCGCCACATGCTGATGCACAGGCGCACGCACACAGGAGAGAAGCCTTACTCCTGTAGCCAGTGCTAGAAGACCTTCCGTCAGAAGCAGCTCCTGGACATGCACTTCCGGCGCTACCATGACCCCAACTTTGTGCCGACTGCCTTTGTGTGCACAAAGTGTGGCAAGACCTTCACCCGCAGGAACACCATGGCCAGACATGCAGAGAACTGTAACGGGGATCCTGGTGAAGGAGAGATTGGAACCCCACCCAAGAGAGGACGAGATGGGAGGAAGAGGAAGATGCGCTCAAGGAAGGACGATGATGACGACGACAGTGAGGACAATGCTGATCCTGAGCTGGATGACATTTACATTACATTTTACATTTACATTTTAGTCATTTAGCAGACGCTCTTATCCAGAGCGACTTACAGTTAGTGAATACATATATATATATATATATATATATATATTTTTTAATACTGGCCCCCCGTGGGAATCGAACCCACAACCCTGGCATTGCAAACGCCATGCTCTATCAATTGAGCTAAATCCCTGCCGGCCATTCCCTCCCCTACCCTGGACGACGCTGGGCCAATTGTGCGCCGCCCATGAGTCTCCCGGCTGCGACAGAGCCTGGACATTGATGAAGAGACATTGATGAAGAGGATGAGGAGGCTGAGGCGGAACTGCTGGAGGACGAAGAAGAGGAGGAGGAGGAGATGGAGTTGGAGCAGGCTCCACCCACCAAGCCTATCCCTATCACTGTGGAGCCTCCCGTGAAGAGGAAACGCAGTAGACCCCCCCAAGAATGCGCCCAAACCCGCCTCACCTGCCAAAGCTAGCAAGGCTACCCCTAAGGGCAAGGCTGCTGCAGCAGCAGCCATCATCCAGGTGGAGGATGAGAATACAGGTGCCATAGAGAACATCATAGTGAAGAATGAGCCAGAGGCTGAGCAGGCTGCCATAGAGGTGGTGGTTGAGCAGTCAGAGGAGGCAGAGGCAGGGGTGGCGCTGCCTGGAGCAGAGGTTGCGTCCAACGGAGATCTCACCCCTGAGATGATCCTCAGCATGATGGACCGGTGATCTAGCCCACACAGACAGCTCTAGGACTTCCCCCTTCTCTCAACCTTTCCCTTCAAGTCCACCCTCTTCATATGATCTGCCATATTACAAACCACTCCGCTTTACTCTTTATTATTTTAATAATTTGTTTTTAACAAATCTGTGTTTCTTTTCACTCTCAAACCCACATCCTTCCATGCATTCACTGTAACAGTTTAAGTTCCAATTGCTTTGGTCTGGGGCGGCAGGTAGCTTAGTGGGTAAGAGCGTTGTGCCAGTAACCGAAAGGTCGCTGGTTCTAATCCCCGAGCCGACTAGGTGAAAAATCTGTCGATGTGCCCTTAAGCAAGGCACTTAACCCTAATTGCTCCTGTAAGTCGCTCTGGATAAGAGCGTCTGCTAAATGACTAAAATGTAAATGTAAATGTATATATATTTTTTTTTATATATATATTTTTTAAAGTTATTATTTTATTATTATTATTATTATTATTAATGGCCTATAGCTCTGTATTATGGCCTATAGCTCTTTATAATAGCCTATAGCTCTGCATTATGGCCTATAGCTCTGTATAATAGCCTATAGCTCTGTATAATAGCTCTGTTTGCTTGTGGGTTCGATTCCCACGGGGGTCCAGTATGAAAATGTATGCACTCACTAAAACTGTAAGTCGCTCTGGATAAAAGCCAAATACCATATGCCCACCAGAGGTTGTTTAGGTGCTGATGGAGCGGTTCAATCGTCTCCTCATCACATCAAAAGGGATCTTGTCAGTGGTGTGTTGTCTCTTTCTGTCACCCTGGAGTGTGACCAGGCTCAGAGAAGGGACTGTGACTATGTAGTGCAGGGGTATGCAATGCTGGTCCTGCATGTTTTAGATTTAACCGACCTGGAAGACCAGGTGTGTTGAATTTAGGCAATCACTGAACTGATCAATTAGCTCAGTTGGTCAGGTGTGATGCCTAGTTGGAACAAAATCCTGCAGTACCTGTGGCACCCCAGGATGTAGTGTAACCAGGCTCAGAGAAGAGACTGTGACTATGTAGTGGTGTGATATTGGGAAAGGGACTGACCAATGTCTTCCATCATCACCACTCAGCGTCTGCAATCTGCACTCAGGGATGCCACCTGACGGAAGACAGTCGGGACTGACCAGTGTTGGAAATCCCAGACCTTGGCAACCCGTCTGCCTAGGGAGACTAGCGACTGACAGACTTTCACCTTTCACCTTTCAGGAGGCAATATGGACTAACAACTGTTCTGTTTGTGATTGTGGGCCAACAGGCACAGGAAGGATGAGCTGGAGAGGCGCATGTCGGCCCTACAGGAGAGCAGACGGGAACTGATGGTCCAGCTGGAGGGACTGATGAGGTTACTCAAGGTAGGAGAGGACTCTAACAGTCTAATATCTACTACAGAATATTATATATATTATATACACTATCACTATCTGTTTCTTGTTCGACAGACTTTTATATACTGACGCTGTCATATTTTTACTATGTAGTTGTATGTCAGTATCAACTTCTGTCATTATTACTTTTTATGCCATCTGGTATTCGTTAACATCAACCGTGAATTTGTTTTATATTTTAAACAACCGTTTAGAACGTGTTGGATGCTGCATTGGTTGTAGTTGACAGTTACTGTCCCTCAGGGTCCATTGGTTAACTTGTGTGATGAGGTGGTGTTGAAGGAGTCAGGCGCAGGAGGGTAAATCACAGAATAACAGGCTTTAATCCGCAAAATACAGGTTTACGCAGAAATGCGTCAAACACACTCCAGGGCACAAACAGGCGCGCTGGAAAATACAAGGCACGCGGGAAATACTCCCGTCGACACAAAATACACGAGCTCCACCGAGCTTCACTAACCTCCACAATAAACAATCACCCACACAGACAAGGAAGCAGAGGGAACACTTATACAATGACTAATGAGGGAATAAGGACCAGGTGTGTGTGATTGAAGACAAGACAAATGGAATGATGATAAATGGATCGGCAGTAGCTAGTAAGCCGTTGACGCCGAAACCTGCCCGAACAAGGAGGGGAGGCAGCCTCGTGGGAAATCGTGACAACTTGAAAAGACCTTACACGTATAAACCTGTCTTTCCTGTCCTGATATTGAAGCTTCTGACTCTTAGTCTTTGCCGCTGTTTCTTTCTCTCTCTCTCTCTCTCTCTCTCTCTCTCTCTCTCTCTCTCTCTCTCTCTCGTGCACTCGCTCTCTTTCTCTCTATTCAATTTCAATTCAATTCAAAGGGCTTTATTGGCATGGGAAACATGTTTACATTGCCAAAGCAAGTTAAATAGATGATCAACAAAAGTGAATTAAACAATAAAATAATTAACAGTAAACATTACACTCACAAAAGTTCAAAAGAATAAAGACATTTCAAGTGTCATTATGTCTATTCAAATCAAATCACATTTTATTTGTCACATACACTTGTTTAGCAGATGTTATTGCGGGTGAAGCGAAATGCTTGTGCTTCTAGCTCCAACAGTGCAGTAATATCTAACAATTTCACAGCATATACCCAATACACACAAATCTAAGTAAGGAATGGAATTAAGAATATATACATACAGTTGAAGTCGGCAAAGGACCTTGTGAATATGCTGGAGGAAACAGGTACAAAAGTATCTACAGTGAGGGAAAAAAGTATTTGATCCCCTGCTGATTTTGTACGTTTGCCCACTGACAAAGACATGATCAGTCTATAATTTTAATGGTAGGTTTATTTGAACAGTGAGAGACAGAATAACAACAACAAAATCCAGAAAAACGCATGTCAAAAACGTTATAAATGTATTTGCATTTTAATGAGGGAAATAAGTATTTGACCCCTCTGCAAAACATGACTTAGTACTTGGTGGCAAAACCCTTGTTGGCTATCACAGAGGTCAGACGTTTCTTGTAGTTGGCCACCAGGTTTGCACACATCTCAGGAGGGATTTTGTCCCACTCCTCTTTGCAGATCTTCTCCAAGTCATTAAGGTTTCGAGGCTGAGAGTTTGGCAACTTGAACCTTCAGCTCCCTCCACAGATTTTCTATGGGATTAAGGTCTGGAGACTGGCTAGGCCACTCCAGGACCTTAATGTGCTTCTTCTTGAGCCACTCCTTTGTGGCCTTGGCCGTGTGTTTTGGGTCATTGTCATGCTGGAATACCCATCCACGACCCATTTTCAATGCCCTGGCTGAGGGAAGGAGGTTCTCACCCAAGATTTGACGGTACATGGCCCCGTCCATCGTCACTTTGATGCGGTGAAGTTGTCCTGTCCCCTTAGCAGAAAAACACACCCAAAGCATAATGTTTCCACCTCCATGTTTGACGGTGGGGATGGTGTTCTTGGGGTCATAGGCAGCATTCCTCCTCCTCCAAACACGGCGAGTTGAGTTGATGCCAAAGAGCTTGATTTTGGTCTCATCTGACCACAACACTTTCACCCAGTTCTCCTCTGAATCATTCAGATGTTCATTGGCAAACTTCAGACGGCCCTGTATATGTGCTTTCTTGAGCAGGGGGACCTTGCGGGCGCTGCAGGATTTCAGTCATTCACGGCGTAGTGTGTTACCAATTGTTTTCTTGGTGACTATGGTCCCAGCTGCCTTGAGATCATTGACAAGATCCTCTCGTGTAGTTCTGGGCTGATTCCTCACCGTTCTCATGATCATTGCAACTCCACGAGGTGAGATCTTACATGGAGATTGACAGTTCTTTTGTGTTTCTTCCATTTGCGAATAATCGCACCAACTGTTGTCACCTTCTCACCAAGCTGCTTGGCGATGGTCTTGTAGCCCATTCCAGCCTTGTGTAGGTCTACAATCTTGTCCCTGACATCCTTGGAGAGCTTTTTGGTCTTGGCCATGGTGGAGAGTTTGGAATCTGATTGATTGATTGCTTCTGTGGACAGGTGTCTTTTATACAGGTAACAAACTGAGATTAGGAGCACTCCCTTTAAGAGTGTGCTCCTAATCTCAGCTCGTTACCTGTATAAAAGACACCTGGTGCCAGAAATCTTTCTGATTGAGAGGGGGTCAAATACATATTTCTTTGTTGTTATTCTGTCTCTCACTGTTCAAACAAACCTACCATTAAAAATTATAGACTGATCATTTCTTTGTCAGTGGGCAACCTTACAAAATCAGCAGGGGATCAAATACTTTTTTCCCTCACTGTATATCCACAGTAAAACGAGTCCTATATCGACATAACCTGAAAGGCCGCTCAGCAAGGAAGAAGCCACTGCTCCAAAACCGCCATAAAAAAGCCAGACTACGGTTTGCAACTGCACATGGGGACAAAGATCGTACATTTTGGAGAAATGTCCTCTGGTCTGATGAAACAAAAATAGAACTGTTTGGCCATAATGACCATCGTTATGTTTGGAGGAAAAGAACACCATCCCAACCGTGAAGCACAGGGGTGGCAGCATCATACTGTGGGGGTGCTTTGCTGCAGGAGGGACTGGTGCACTTCACAAAATAGATAGCATCGTGAGGAAAGAAAATTATGTGGATATATTGAAGCAACATCTCAAGACATCAATCAGGAAGTTAAAGCTTGGTCGCAAATGGGTCTTCCAAATGGACTATTACATTTACATTTACATTTTAGTCATTTAGCAGACGCTCTTATCCAGAGCGACTTACAGTTAGTGAGTGCATACATATATATTTTTTAATTTTAATTTTATTTTTTTCATACTGGCCCCCCGCGGGAATCGAACCCACAACCCTGGCGTTGCAAACGCCATGCTCTACCAACATCCCTATGAACCCAAGCATACTTCTAAAGTTGTGGCAAAATGGCTTAAGGACAACAAAGTCAAGGTATTGGAGTGGCCATCACAAAGCCCTGACCTCAATCCTATAGAACATTTGTGGGCAGAACTGAAAAAGCGTGTGCGAGCAAGGAGGCCTACAAACCTGACTCAGTTACACCAGCCCTGTCAGGAGGAATGGGCCAAAATTCACCCAACTTATTGTGGGAAGCTTGTGGAAGGCTACCCGAAACGTTTGACCCAAGTTAAACAATTTAAAGGCAATGCTACCAAATACTAATTGAGTGTATGTAAACTTCTGACCCACTGGGAATGTGATGAAAGAAATAAAAGCTGAAAGAAATAATTCTCCCTACTATTATTCTGACATTTCACATTCTTAAAATAAAGTGGTGATCCTAACTGACCTAAGACAGCGAATCTTTACTAGGACTAAATGTCAGGAATTGTGAAAAGCTGAGTTTAAATGTATTTGGCTAAGGTGTATATAAACTTCCGACTTCAACTGTATATGGACGAGCAATGACAGAGCGGCATGGACTAAGATACCGTAGAATATTATAGAGTACAGTACATACATATGAGATGAGTAATGCAAGATATGTAAACATTATTAAAGTGGCTAGTGTTCCATTTCTATTATTAAAGTGGCCAGTGATTTCTAGTCTATGTCTATAGGCAGCAGCCTCTAATGTGCTAGTGATGGCTATTTAACAGTCTGATGGCCTTGAGATGGAAGCTGTTTTTCAGTCTCTCGGTCCCAGCTTTGATGCACCTGTACTGACCTCGCCTTCTGGAGGATAGCGAGGTGAACAGGCAGTGGCTCGGGAGGTTGATGTCCTTGATTATCTTTTTGGCCTTCCTGTGAAGGTGTCCTGGAGGGTGGGTAGTTTTCCCCCGGTAATGCGTTGGGCAGACCGCAGTGTTGTAATGATGTGCAAGTAGTTAAAGTACAAAAAGGAAATAAATAAACATAAATATAGGTTGTATTTACAATGGTGTTTGTTCTTCACTGGTTCTTTCTTTCTCTCTCTCTCTCTCTCTCTCTCTCTCTCTCTCTCTCTCTCTCTCTCTCTCTACTCATGCTCTCTATCACTGCGTACCATTGGCTGACTGATAGGATGAGGAGCAGAAGCAGGCAGTAAGTGTCTCTATTCAGTTTCCTATACATTAATACACTAATCAAGCAGTAGAGGAGCAGCACCAGACCCAGTCACTCTCTCACCATAATATTACGTGTCACACTACTGTTCACTCTTAATGCATGTTTTGATATGTCTCAGATGGATAGTGTTTAAGGAACTTACAGTAGCAGCGTTTTTTATGGACATGTTATGCACTTGCGCTGGTCGGTTTGAGGCAGCACTGTTTTCCTACAGAGATTTGGCACAGTACTTCTATAGATGGGTTATTTGTCACGCCATGAGAGATCATAAAGTCCTGTTGTAGTTTGCTAGATTATTTGGGTCCATGACGAGTGAGAACTCTACCATGTATTCCTTTCTTTGCAAACAAACGTCTGAGACCTGTTCCTTTCATCAAAGCTAACAACCTTTCCTCAAATGTGACGACAGTCTGTCTAACCATCTGCTGCCTGTCTCTAAGCCATACAGTGCTGGACCCTCAGGCAGACCTGGGTTCAAACTCTAATCGAAATCTTTCAAATACCTTGAGCGTTTGCTGTAGCCTGCCTGGAGTGCTAGTTAGGCTGGGTTTGAAGTTTTGGGACTATCCTATTGGTCCATTAAGCTAAGCAGGCTCAATCAAGCACAGATGCAGTTTTTGAAATTATTCGAATAGTGTTTGAACCCAGGTCTTCCCCTGGGCCCTGCACCAACCCCCTCCTTACCCCCTTCCCACCCCGTGAGAGACACAGTGCCCCTTTCTACAGACAGAACAGTAAAGTCCCCTCCTTAGTCCCTGCAGGCAGGCAGGCAGGCTCACACATGGTTCTCATTAGATTTCAGAGCAGTAGACGTGCTGTAATGGACAGGGAGTGTATGTTCAGGTGTGTGTGTGTGTGTGTGTGTGTGTGTTAGGCTTGGCCGGTATCCAGATTGTCATACCTTCATACCGACCTTGTGCCATACTGGGATATTCGGTAATACCGGCATTGCACCCATGGGGCGCTATTTTCAAACCCCACTGAGCCTTCGTAATCTGAAGGTTAGCAATGCTAACAAGTACATGTAAGATCCCATACAGAATGCTATCTAAATGCTAACGAGCGCATTGTGAACATTAGGTCTCTGACCTAAAGTATTTGCAGGACAGATATCCCAACTCAAAAACGCGACTCACAGTTTGCTACACGCACAAAACAAATATTAGACAGCAAGGCTCTTGTCCAGGAGGGGATTCTCTGCTGTTACCAAGCGAAACTTGATTTTGGAAGAAACTAACCACATAGTTATATAACTAACTAGCTACTAAATTAGCAAACCAAATGCACAACTGCAGATCATTTAGCACATTTTAGACAGTTAACTTAATAGTTAAATTGGAGAAGGTCTCCAGGGATGGTCTGGAGGAGGGGATGGGGTCGAGCGGGCAGGTTGTCGGGCGGCCAGACCTCACTAGTCACAGGATTTTATCTGGAGAGAGAGGGGAGAAAGAGGTCAAGGTGTAGGGTAGTTCTGTGTGCGTGAGACCAGTGAATGAGGAGCGGATGTCGTCAACCTTCTTTTGAAAGTCGTCCGCAGAGAGGGTGGGGGTGGAGGATTAAGGAGGGAGGAGAAGGTAGAAAATAGTTTCCTAGGGTTAGAGGCAGAAGCTTTAAATTTAAAGTGATAGAAAGTGGCATTAGCAGTGGATTCAGAGGAAGAGAAGGTAGAGAGGAGGGAGTGAAAGGATGATAGGTCCTCCAGAAGTTTTCATTTTCCTCAATTTTCGCTCAGCTCCCCTCAGCCCTGTTCTGTAAGCTCGCAATGAGTCACTTCGCCACGGAGTAGGAGGGGAGGGGAGAGCCGAGCCGGCCCGGGAGGAAAGGGGGTAGTGCGAGTCATAGGATGCGGAAAGGTAGGAGAGTAGGGTCGAAGAGGCATAATCAGGACACAGGAGAGAGATATGATAGGATAGAAGAGGAAAGAGTAGTGGGAGAGAGAGAGCGAAGATTGTGACGGCGCATGACCATCTGCGTAGGGGATGAAAGGGTTGGAGGAAAGAGAGACAGAAAAGGAAACAAAGTAGTGATCCTAGACCTGGAGGGGGGTTGCAGTGAAATTAGTAGGTGGACAGCCTCTAGTAAAGATGAGGTCAAGCGTATTGCCTGCCTTGTGAGTTGGAGGGGATTGGGAAAGGGTGAGGTCAAAAGAGGCAAGGAGGGGAAAGAGGGAGTTGCAAAAAAATGAATTGACGCCTCCCGAGTGGCGCAGCGGTCTAAGGCACTGCATCACAGTGCTAGAGGCGTCACTACAGATCCAGGTTCGATCCAGGGCTGTGACGCAGCCGGCCGCGACCGGGAGACCCATGAGGTGGTGCCCAATTGGCCCAGCGTCGTCCGGGTTAGGGGAGGGTTTGGCCGGCTGGGATGTCCTTGTCCCATCGCGCTCTAGCGACTCCTTGTGGCGGCCGGGCGCATGTACACTGACTTCAGTCGCCAGCTGTACAGTGTTTCCTCCGACAAATTTGTGCGGCTGACTTCCGGGTTAAGCGAGCAGTGTCTCAAGAAGCAGTGTGGCTTGGCGGGGTAGTGTTTCGGAGGACGCATGGCTCTCGACCTAAACTATGGTAATACTGGTATGTTTCTATAGTATGTTTCCTAACCTATGGTAATACTGGTATGTTTCTATAGTATGTTTCCTAACCTATGGTAATACTGGTATGTTTCCCTCCCGAGTGGCGCAGTGGTCTAAGGCACTGCATCGCAGTGGTAGCTGTGCCACTAGAGATCCTGGTTCGAATCCAGGCTCTGTCGTGGCCGCGACCGGGAGACCCATGGGGACCCATGGGGCGGCGCACAATTGGCCCAGCGTCGTCCAGGGTAGGGGAGGGAATGGCCGGCAGGGATGTAGCGCAATTGGTAGAGCATGGTGTTTGCAACGCCAGAGTTGTGGGTTCGATTCCCACGGGGGGCCAGTATGAAAAAAATAAAAAATAATAATAATGTATGCACTCTGGATAAGAGCGTTTGCTAAATGACTAAAATGTAAATGTAAAAATGTTTCTATAGTATGTTTCCTAACCGTTGGTAATACTGGTATGTTTCTATAGTATGTTTCCTAACCGTTGGTAATACTGGTATGTTTCTATAGTATGTTTCCTAACCGTTGGTGATGTTGGTATGTTATGTTTCCTAACCGGTATGTTATGTTATCAGGCCCAGACAGGAGGCTCGACCCACTCCTCCCCCAGCCACGGGGCAGGCTGCTCCATGCCCATGCCCATCCGCTCCACCTCAGCTGGGTCCACCCCCACCCACACACCCCAGGACTGCCTGGCCGGGGTGGGGGGCGACGTGCTGGAGGCCTTCGCTCAGGGTGAGTCCTGGACCTCAGCCCAGCGGGAAAAACAGGGCAAAACTGGTTGAAAGGACATCCGTTTCTGGTTGAATAGGCGTCAAGATGTCATTTCAACCTGCTTTTTCCACTGGGCTATGTCCTCCTGTAGATCCAATGTGGCCCAGTGCATATCTGTTGTTAGTTATCCATTTTCGGGCCTTGTTTGAGTCAAGGACAACACAACATTTTGAGCTGTGCCAAATTTGATTAAAGTACATTTCAACCATGTTGAAAAATAGTAGCCACTAAATGCCATGTACAGTGCATTCGGAAAGTATTCAGACCCCTTGACTTTTTCCGCATTTTGTTACGTTAGTCTTATTCTAAAATGGATTAAATTGTTTTTTCCCCTCATCAATCTACAAAAAAATACCCTATAATGACAAAGCAAAAATAGGTTTTTAGAAATGTTTGCAAATGTATAAAAATATATCACATTTACATAAATATTCAGACCCTTTACTCAGTACTTTGTTGAAGCACATTTGGCAGCGATTACAGCCTTGAGTCTTCTTGAGTATGATGCTACAAGCTTGCCACACCTGTATTTGGGGAGTTTCTCCCATTCTTCTCTGCAGATCCTCTCAAGCTCTGTCAGGTTGGATGGGGAGCGTTGCTGCACAGCTATTTTCAGGTCTCTCCAGAGATGTTCGATTGGGTTCAAGTCCAGGCTCTGGCTAGGCCACTCAAGGACATTCAGAGACTTGTCCCGAAGCCACTCCTGCGTTGTCTTGGCTGTGTGCTTAGGGTCGTTGTCCTGTTGGAAGGTGAACCTTCACCCCAGTTTGAGGTCCTGAGCGCTCTGGAGCAGGTTTTCATCAAGGATCTCTCTGTACTTTGCTCCGTTCATCTTTCCCTCGATCCTGGCTAGTCTCCCAGTCTCTGCCACTGAAAAACATCCCCACAGCATGATGCTGCCACCACCATGCTTCACCATAGGGATGGTGCCAGGTTTCCTCCAGACGTGACGCTTGGCATTCAGGCCAAAGAGTTCAATCTTGGTTTCATCAGACCAGAGAATCTTGTTTCTCATGGTCTGAGAATCCTTTGGGTGCCTTTTGGCAAAATTCAAGCGGGCTGTCATGTGGCTTCCATCTGGCCACTCTACCATAAAGGCCTGATGGGTGGAGTGCTGCAGAGTTGGTTGTCCTTCTGGAAGGTTCTCCCATCTCCACAGAGGAACTCTGGAGCTCTGTCAGAGTGACCATCAGGTTCTTGGTCACCTCCCTGACCAAGGCCCTTCTCCCCCGATTGCTCAGTTCTAGGAAGAGTCTTGGTGGTTCCAAACTTCTTCTATTTAAGAATGATGGAGGCCACTGTGTTCTTGGGGACCTTCAATGCTGCAGAAATGTTTTGCTACCCTTCCCCAGATCTGTGCCTCAACACAATCCTGTCTCGGAGCTCTACGGACAATTCCTTCGACCTCATGGCTTGGTTTTTCCTCTGACATGCACTGTCAACTATGGGAACTTATATAGACAGGTGTGTGCCTTTCCAAATCATGTCCAATCAATAGAATTTACCACAGGTGGACTCCAATCAAGTTGTAGAAACATCTCAAGGATGATCAATGGAAACAGGATGCACCTGAGCTCAATTTAGAGTCATAGCAAAGGGTCTGAATACTTATGTAAATAAGGTATTTCTGTTTTTTTATTTTTAATACATTTGCAAAAATGTATGCTAACCTGTCTTCACTTTGTCATTATGTGGTATTGTGTGTAGATTGATGAGGGGGGGGGGGGACAATTTAATCCACTTTAGAATAAGGCTGTAATGTAAAAGGGAAGGGGTCTGAATACTTTCCGAATGCACTGTAAGTCACTATTATCATTGACTGTGTCCTCTGTCTTTTAGGTGTACCTAGAAATCTTCGTAATGATCTGTTGGTCGCTGCAGATTCAATCACAAACACCATGTCATCACTCGTCAAAGAGCTCCACTCAGGTTAGTTGAAAGGCACATGACTGCTATGTTGCCTATGATTGGTTGATAACTCTGGGACTGAAGTTATAATCTCAGAATTCTTTGGATTTCTTTAATAAAGTAGATGATGCTGCAGAGGAAGAGGACAACCACATGAGGAACGGAGGACTAAGGGACAGGGCAGAGGAAGAGGACAACCACATGAGGAACGGAGGACTAAGGGACAGGGCAGAGGAAGAGGACAACCACATGAGGAACGGAGGACTAAGGGACAGGGCAGAGGAAGAGGACAACCACATGAGGAACGGAGGACTAAGGGACAGGGCAGAGGAAGAGGACAACCACATGAGGAACGGAGGACTAAGGGACAGGGCAGAGGAAGAGGACAACCATATGAGGAACGGAGGAATAAGGGACAGAGGTGAGGAAGTCTTGGCTCACAATTGTCTTATTAATATTTCTTATTTCATGTATCGAGCTGTTTGAGATTTTGATTAGTAATTTCTTTGAAACAACATTCTAGAATTCTAATTGTTATTCTCCATTCCAAAGGGAAGCAGGACATTATTTTTGGTGATCATATATATTAGACTTTTATGTTACTGCAAATAACGGATCATTTTTCACTTTGTTTTCCAGCCGATGCAGAATGAAAAGAATGGTAGAAGTATGAATATTCCTATAGTTTTGATATTGTCCGTTTGATCCCTTTCACATAGTCATTCATGAGTAATTCACAATGTAATTCAACAAATCTGTCAATGACCTATAAACAAAACAGAAATCACTGGATCTTTTTCAGTCCCACTTGTTCGTCGAAATCCAAAATCCTTCCTCAGTGAATAGTTATCTTTATAGTTACGTTGTGCCCCAATCTAAAACCTCTCCTTCTTCCATGTCTGTCTGTCTGTCTGTCTGTCTGTCTGTCTTCAGGCACAGGGAGAGCTCTAAAGCATCATTGAGGGAACAACAACCTCCCCAAACACCACTCCATTTATCTAGACGGGATGTCAGACTGGAGAAGAAGAATGAGAATCCGCCACACCGACCAAACCCTTCTATCAGGCATTACCACGTAGAGTAATGCATGATGTTATCAAACAGGATTTCACTGTGAACTCTTATTAAACATGTTTGTTAATCCACTAACTAGTCACTCAGTAGTGACAGGATTTATTGTCCACGTAAAGCAAAGAGAGGGAGAGCAACTCAGGACATTAGTTTAAATTAATATTATTATTATTGTGATCTTTCGTTCAAATATGTTGAGTTACAACATATTCACCTATACACCTGTACGTAGGTGACGCCAGGAGGTAGATACATAAAAGTTGTGCACAGATAAGAGTTGCTTTGATGGCGTTGTTTAGTTAAAATAAATTAGGACTGGAACATGTTAATAGATAGGAGCTCAGGGACTGTAGAGGTAGATGGAATGCAGTAGTGACTGGCTCAGTCTCAAATGGCACCCTATTCCCAACATAGTGCACTACTTTTGACCAGAGCCCATCAGCCCAATGGGTCAAAAATAGTGCACTATACAGCCAATAGGGTGCCATTTGGGTACATCCTCAAAATGTGTGGTCAACTAATAGGCCCTAATGGGCTCCAGACCTGCTTGTGTAGGGGTCAGAGGCTGTGTAATCATTAGAGAGTCTGGAGGGAGCAGACAGCAACCCTGCATCTCAATAATCTGGCCTTTCTCCTGCATTTTAAAACATTGGGTTGGTCTGAGCATGTTCTAGACTGCCATATTTCCTATACCAGTCCATTCCTTTTTAATTCATCAAGTGAATAAGTGCACTTCGGGAGAAAGGACAGATTATTAGGAGACAGGGCAAGAGGGGTTAACCAGACAGCAAGTCTGGTGTTGGTTTAGAATATGGAATGGTTTAGAGGAGAGAACAGAGGTGGAGTGGACTGTAGAAGGATACTGATTCAGTTGAATCAGGAGGATATCAGATCCAATAAAACACTCTCGTCTTCTGATAGATGGACATTTCTGTTGTTCAGGGATTGCATTTATCTCTGAAATTAAGCACTGAAATGAATAACTAGTTAATAAATGTTTGGTTTAGCAATGTGACACGATAAACGGGCAGACAGCGAAGAGTAGAGTTTGGTTTGGTTCACGTTATTACATGATAACATGTTAATAACATGTTTATGATAACTTGGAAACACTGGTTAAGCAATGAACTGTACTGAAGTTGTACTTGAGAAACATTTTGCATTGAGGTAATGTGTACAGAACAGTCGGCTATCCTATAAACTAAGTACAAGGCCTTATCAACCTATTACACTGTGTTGAGTAATAGGAGAACAATGAAGTTGCTCCTTCGTATCCATTGTCCTAAATGTGATGTTTTTATTTTGTTACTTTTTTTACACGATCTTATCATTCTGGGTGTTATTTTAGTTTGCTAGTGAAATTAAATCGTTGATAATGATTTATCGAAACGTCGCATTCAAGTGAGCATTTGTCTTGAACATCAGTTTGTTGCCTAAATGAAGAAGAAGAAGAAGAAGAAGAAGAAGAGTATATTATATGAAGCGGTGACCAAGATAACGTACGACACCACACTGTAAAACCTAAAACTAGAAGTTGTAACGAATACCCATTTTGTCTTCTATACTGAGGCTTTGACACTTTCTTTCTTCCGTACAACAACGTATATTCAAGATCTAAAGGAAATTGAAGTGCTGAGATAAAACCTTTTGAAAAGTGAGTTATTGTTTTCCCTCTTCACACCGCTCATAGATAGGAATGCAATGTTATGATTTGAGTTTGTGCCTACTGCCTAGATGTTTTTTATAAAGTGCTATATAAAGTAAAACCCATTCATGCAGATATAAGAATATCAATAAGCCTTTTAAGTAGGAGATTTAGTCTGTCTGTGACCTTATTGAAAAATATGATTTATGTATTGTTGTTCAGGAGGGAAAGTAGTAGACTTGTTCAGCCTTTACATTTGTGCCAAAATGTTTGCAGACGTTGTGTGTCATCATACAGATATATCTACATTCTATATGTTGATGTCCATACTTTATCATGATATAATCGGGACCATACATTTACTTGGTCTTCCTTCAAATGTAGAACCTCAACAGTTCTAGAACCAGCAACAGTTCTAGAGCTACAAACTGTTCTAGAGCTTCCAACCGTTCTAGAGCTACAAACTGTTCTAGAGCTAACAACAGTTCTAGAGCTACAAACTGTTCTAGAGCTAACAACAGTTCTAGAGCTACAAACTGTTCTAGAGCTTCCAACCATTCTAGAGCTACCAACCATTCTAGAATGATCTCCTTCTAGCCAACAGATGTGATAGAAATGTACATACTGCACTTTGTGATCATTTTATTGTTTGCAGAGAGAAAATGTGTAAAATGACAAACCACAAGCTTCCCGAAATGTTAAATATTTCTCTGTGTTATATACTGTTATGCTTCTGGTATTCATTTGTTTCTCCTGTTAATTTTAAAAACATGGTTTTATGTCACATGACCACTGTCTTTTGTAAAATAAAATGAATCAATTGTGAAATATATTAAAATATTTAAAAGCTTGATATGCTTTGTGATGTGATGCCTTTTTTCAGAACAGTATTTAGCCTACTGGTTGTTACCGTTTGAACTTCAGAAAGTGCCTTCAGAAAGTTTTCATACCCCTTGACTTATTCTACCTTTGGCGGCGATTACAGCTTTGAGTTGTCTTGGGTATGTCTGTATCAGCTTTGCACATCTGGATTTTGGGTTTTTCTTTCCATTTTTACTTGCATATTTTCTCAAGCTTTGTTAAGTTAGATGGGGAGCGGCGGTGAACAGCAATCTTCAAGTCTTTCCAAAGATTTTCAATGGGATTCAGGTCTGGGCTTTGGCTGGGCCACTCAAGGACTTTCACATTCTTGTTCTGAAGCCATTCCAGTGTTGCTTTGGCTGTATGCTTGGGGTCATTGTCCTGTTGGAACGTAAATCTTCGCCCCCAGTCTAAGGTTGTTTGCACTCTGAAGCAGGTTCTCATCAACGATTTGCCTGTATTTATAATAATAATATAATATGCCATTTAGCAGACGCTTTTATCCAAAGCGACTTACAGTCATGTGTGCATACATTTTTACGTATGGGTGGTCCCGGGGATCGAACCCACTACCCTGGCGTTACAAGCGCCATGCTCTACCAATTGAGCTCCATTCATTGTTCCCGCTATCCTTACCAGTCTCCCAGTCCCTGCCGCTGAAAAGCATCCCCATAGCATGATGCTATGTTAGACGGGTGATGAGCTGTGCCTGGTTTTCTCTAGACATAGCGCTTTGCATTCAGGCCAGAGTGTAAAATGTTTGTCTCATCAGACCACAGAATCTTTTGCCTTATGATCTTTCAACACTAGAAATTGTTTTATACCCTTCCCCATATATATGACTCATCACAATTCTATCTCGGATATCTACGGACAGTTCGTTGGATTTCATGGTATAGTTTCTGCTCTGACATGCACTGTCAACTGTGGGACCTTATATAGACAGGTGTGTTTCTTTCTAAAACATGTTCAAACAATTGAATTGGCCACAGGTGGACTCCAATCAAGTTGTAGTGACATCTCAAGGATGATCAAAGGAGTATGAAAATGTATGCACTCACTACTGTAAGTTACTCTTCATAAGAGTGTCTGCTAAATTACTCAAATGTAAATTAAATTGGATGCACCTGAGCTCAATTTGGAGAGTCATAGCAAAGGAGTGTGAATATTTCTGTAAATGAAATATTTCTGTATTTTATTTTCAATACATTAGCAAACATTTCTAAAAATATGTTTTTACTTTGTCATTATGGGGTATTGTGTCTAGATGGTTGAGAAAAAAAATCTATTTTATCAATTTTGAATTCAGGCTGTAACAACAAAATATAGAATTAGTCAAGGGGTATGAATACTTTCCGAAGGCACTGCATGTACTGCACTGTAGAATATGGGCTTGAAAATATTTGACTGTCATAACTGTTTTTCAAGTAATTGAGAGGTAATTTTTCCTGGGAAACAACTCCCTCCTATCGGATAAGATTGCCATTGGCCCGCGTGGAGTAATATATCCTCTAGGATGTCCAATCACATCTCCTGATGATTGCGTAACTGTAATCATACCTACGGCCCTGTGTTTTGGACTATCATGTCACATGACCTAGATACTAACGTCTTTTAAAGCCTTATCCAGAAATGAGAATTACACCAAAATGAAAGCAATTGTCTGAGTGGTGCTGGACCGTCTGACATGAAAAGAAAAGGGGACATTTTCATAAAGCTTTATATAAAGGTTAAAATCCAGGTCGTGTGAAATGATTGTCCAAAACACAGGGCTCTAATCATAACAGACATAGAATACGTTTGTGTGCGTATGTGCATTGTCTGTCCATCCGTCCGTCCGTCTGTCTGTCTTTCTGTGTGGGGGTCAGTGAGAGCAGCCCCAGACACAGCTCCTGCTCTCCTCTCCTCTCCTCTCCCCTCCCCTCCCCTCCTCTACTCTCCTCTCCCTCTGCGATGGGTTGTGTCATCATGCTTCTGTCCTTGACTGAACCAGACCACGCGAGAGGGACCGAGAGAATGTCTATTCTACAGACAAGAGAGGACGAGAGATTCAGACTTAACAGAGAGAGGGGGACG